AACCAACCGACCAAATGAAATCGCATACAAAACAAAAAACAGAAGAAAAAAGAAATGATGGCTAAATTGCCTGTCCATAAAGAAAAATGTGAGGCACATTATCACTGGTGAGAGACAGCTCAGCCACCAGTTAAGAAGTTCAGCAGCAGGCCCTGATACCAATACATGAATGGGTAAACTGTGCCTATGGAGTGTCAGGCTCTCTTTGGGCCTCCAGCCCCAGAGCATCCCCATGGAAACGTTAGAGAAGCAGCATGAGATAAATTCTCAACCGATTGATCAMGGACCTCACAACCGAATCTCGTATCCTTTGGAAGTAAAGTCAATTGGATGTTTGTATTATTTGCACCCAAACAGTAGTGTCAACTGCACTGTCTGGAAAATCCCCACATCAAAAACACAGAAAAACCTCACTGAGCAGGAGTCAGAAAAAAATCAGGGCTACGAAGTTACAATGATAAAAATGAATACACGGGCAGGCAGAGTCTGCTGCAATTTGCTGGATTCATCCACCATTAGAAGAACCGAAATGACCAACATACATGGCACACATTTTAAGATTCATAGGGTTTTTATCACAAAAAAATTATTGCATGAGAGTGACGATTAGTATGAAGAACTCCGGTGGCAGTTAAGAATCTGCAGTAAAAAAAGAGAGTGCAGATGATCCATCAGGCTTTCCTGACAAGTTGATAACAGCAGCTATGAAGGAAACATCTGCAGAAACTGGTGTTTAAGTTCTGCATGTCTTTTCATTTATACAATTTACCTCCCACGAAAGGAATAGAGATCAAATGAATGCCCAATGGCTGGACACAAGGAAAACAAAAAAGTGGCCTTCCTTGCATGGGCGAAAAAAAGCGAAACAGCAATCCAGAGCTTGAAAATATGGAGACTGGTCAATTCTGTCAGCCCACGGACTGTGGGGCATTCCGGTGCGCTGGAACACRGCTGCTGCTGGAGACGGGGTGCTCTACAGCATCCAGCCAGCACCGTAGAAACTCCCCGAGGTGAGTAAGCTGATTCAGAAACTAGAGGCGACGAGGTGCTAGGGGGGACACCGCGCAACCTGCGGGCCCCGACTGTCTCCGCGAGGCCCGGGAGGGCTAAGTATCCTTCGGGGAACTCTCTGTTTCAGCCCCCTCCCGTTCCTACCCGCACGCTCCACGAACTACGTTCCCTTGCAACGAATGCCTTTCGGACAAAGCGCATCGCCGGCCCAGCAGCGCCCGACTCCGGGTCTCGGCCCGGCCCGAGGTCCCGGGGGACGGCCCGGCCTTCGGGCGGAAAGGGGCCGCTCCCGCCGCAGCTCCCCAGCAACTCGGAGCGCGTCCCGCTCGCCGCCCGTTCAGGGCCGCTGCCCGCGCCGGGCCGGGCCGCACAGCCCCGCCGGCGGTGCCGGGGAAGCCGGCCTGTTCCCGCGATTCCGACGTCGGAGCCCATTTCGCAGTAACCTGCGGCTCAGCCGCGCTCCCCGGGGCAGCCGCCAGCAGCACCGGTGGAAGGACCGCGGGCACTCACCGAACCGCCGCCCCCCCGCATGGTCCCGGTGCCGCCGCCACGTCAGCGCCGCGCCCGCCCGCGCGGTCCCGCCCGCCGCTTCCGGCTGGCCCTGGCGGCGCGGCCGTCCCGAGCCCTGCCGGGGTGTTGTGACCCGCCCCGGGCCCCGCCGGGCCGTGCAGCGCCCGGAAGCCGCGCGGTCCCGCGGTGCGTCCCGGGCGGCAGCGGGGCCACAGCCGGGACAGCGCACATCACGTCGGGGCCGCGGCCCCCCCTCCGCCCCGGAAGAACAAGCGGGCTCTGGGAAGATGGCAGCGGCGGTGGGAGCTGCGGCGGCGGCGCCGCCGGTGTGTGTTCTGGTGCTGGGCATGGCCGGCTCCGGGAAAACCACCTTCGTGCAGGTAGAGGGGTGCCGGGGCCTCGGGGGGCCGCGGGAGTCGCGAAGGGCATGGGGAGTCGCCGGCTGCCCCCGTGCCTACCCCCGTGCCCAGCGGGGCCTGACTCCTGCCCGTGTCCCCGCAGCGCCTGGCCGCCCACCTGCACGGGCAGCGCTGTCCTCCGTACGTGATCAACCTGGACCCTGCCGTGCACAACCTGCCTTTCCCCGCCAACATCGGTGAGTGCTGCGCTCTGCGAGGCGGGTGGGCCATGGCCGGAGGAGCGGCCTGGAGTCCGCCGGAAGAGAGCAAATGCGTAGGGCCACAAACAGAGACAGAACCGGTCGGCGCAGCGTGCTTCTCATGCGTTCCGCGGAAGCGGGGGCGGGTGCGTGAGCTGTTCAGCTGGACTGCTTGTATTCCGTTGACAGAGTCGAAGTTCTAGTACAAGAAGGACCTGGAAGATGTTTTTTTTCGTTGTAACTCCTTTCTCCAAACAGTCGTGAATATGGGTATTTTTAGAACCAAAGCCATTCTTCCGATGCGTTTAGGCTTTTTCTTTGTCAGTGATGAAAGTATTAGCAGAGTTGATCTGATTCCCTACATCCACATGTGCTACCAACAAACAAATTTAAAGCACTTTTCAAGACACGAATGTCAGAGAAAATATCTTAGCAATAGAAGAATAGATCTTATGTTTAGCTATTCCAAAGAGCATAACAATCCCTAGTTTTATGACAGTCCTATCTCTTGCACTCTATGAAGTATGCCAGCCAGCCTCTCCGAAAGATAAGAAAGATGGTGTGGGTATGCAAGTTGTTTCACTGATGTCAGAGGAATAATTGGAATATCTGTTCCAGTGCTTGATCTCTAGTAATGCAGATGCTTTGTTAGTTGATGGTGACCAGTTGAAGGTTGGAAAACTGTTGATATGTCTTTCTCCCTTAGATATCAGGGACACTGTGAAGTACAAAGAAGTAATGAAACAGTATCCTTTTTTTGTCTGAATAATACTGMTTGAAATGTCAAGTTTTTGAAGATAATTTGTCACGTGCACACTGTGATTAAAGAGTAAGAGGCAGGGGGATTGCAGTAATGCAGAGTGTTGCATGAATATCAAAAGGTTTTGACTGTGTATTTCTTGCATGTGATGTTAGGAATGTGTGTTCTACAAGACTTGATACTCCTTAGGTAATTTTCTCCCGTGCTAAAAATGATTCTGCCTAACAGTAAGTTCTTACAAGGAATAGGGACACTGCCCACGTAGTTTTTTGTTTTTTTTTTCTTTTAGTTCTTTCAAAGAACTAGTTTCTCCTTTTTTTTTTTTGTTTTGTGAAGGTCAGCAGCCTTTCCTCCCTGTTTTAACTAGTCTAATTTTATTTGTCATAAACAAATATGGAAGTTCTTATTTGCTTGTAGTAGATGGAGAAAACGATTTCGCCGTTTAACCATAGTCAAAGCACTGTTGCCTCTCTGAATCTCAAAGATGCCGAAGTGTTTGCTCTTGCATATAGAGTATTGATGACTGTAGTGCGGTAATGTTACGCTAAAGTGGCTGCACTTCCAGAGGGCTGTGGAGTTCCTCGGTCTCCTGCTTAGTAGCTTGTTCAGATGGAGACGATACTGTGTTTGGTTTTGACGTGTAAGCATGACTCTTAGTATTTTAGAGTAAATAAAGGTGGTGGGGATAGGATTCTCAATTTTGGCTCTTTTTTGATTTGGGGTTACCAGCAAAACATCCTGACTAGAAGTTTCAAGTTAATACATAGGTGCATTATTTGCTCCACTGCGTCTGTTAGCCATTACCGGAGTTTCTATGTCTTGTTAAGAATGGCCTGAGGAGAATGTCCAGCCCAGACATTTGGATATTGAGAACAGCGATGGARAAGACATGTTATGAGTCAAAGGTGTTTCTTGCGCAGTTAAAGCAGACATGGCAAGGGGAAGCCGTTTAGCCTCTCTTCCTCCGTCAATCATAGGTTTTTGTGTAAGAGAGAGACACTTCGTTACAATGCTGAATGACTTAGAAGAGTTAATTGTGTATTAGGGTTATTTCTCTACTTTAAAGAAAGTATACAGTGTGCATCTGTTGTCAGAGTTGACAAAGAAGATTTCTGGGGTCTGCAGAACTAACCGTCTGCTTTCCTCAATGAAGCATCAGATATGGGCTGGGCCCAAACGGTGGAATAGTGACCTCTCTCAATCTCTTTGCTACAAGATTTGACCAGGTACAAGGTTGTTCCTATGTGCTGTTCCCGTGATGCTGTGTTGGGAGACTGGGGGGGGTTTGTGTACCTGGAGTCTCAGAGGGCACTGCATTTGCTTAGCCTTATAATATTTCTGGGGAGTTATTCTCCATACAGAATCCTGTATTTTACAATGCAGTCAGAGCACATTAGCTTTCATATGAAAGCTTTCAGTTTTTCAGCTTTTTTAAAGTAAAATTTAGAAGCCACATGTATGGAGCGTTCTTCAGTCTTTGGGTAGGATTGTTGTTTCCCCATGTTTACTGTAAAATCTTTCATGTGAATGCTCTGGTTTTGAAGTAAGGAAACCGATTAAATTTTCCTGGGGTTATTTGATAATTGACAACCCTCCTAAATCATCACACTATATCAGCTTTGGGGTGGGGACTGATGTCAGATATCGAGACAATCTCTTAATAAAAAGGCAGGGAACAACTGCATTTCTTCAGCCAGGTGCTAGAACACACAGAAAGTCAAGGTTGTCTTTGACCTATGCAGGGTCTGAGCATTTTTCACCCTTCCTTAGTAGGGCATTTTCACACTCTGAAAAGTGTAAAGATTTCAACTTTTTCATAAATACCTGCAAGTTAATGTAGTTACTGCTGTGAAATGAAGATGGAAGTTTCCTGTTCTGAGGTTAAATACAAAAGATACTCCTGCTTTTTCAATCAGGTGATGAAGTTTATTGAAAAAAGAAAAAATGCATCCAAGTGAGTACCTTCTAGTGAGTTCTACTTTTCTGGGATCATTGTGGGAAAATCGTGAAATTCTAAAAAGATGCTTTGCATGTTTTCCATTGTTTTTTTCAGCCTTGATATAAATTTTATGTGGAAAAGGGTATAGAACAGATAACTAGATTTTCTTTGTATACATCAAAAAAAGTCTGCTGATTATGGTTCTGCTTTTCTTGTCTTCCATTAGACTATCACTTTTTCTCACATACTGTTCAAACAGGCAGCAGCTAATTCTTCTTCTGGAGATTTTGCATGACTAACTGTCTGTCAAATTGATGCCTTCAACTCATGAGAATACGTGCTTCTTAGTTACAACATTCACAGAGGAAGTTTTCAGGCATTCCCATAAATCTCATCACTGTTTGGGTGAAGCTTTTCTCATTTGTTATAGAATAAGCATGTCATTTGCTGTTGTATGGTGGTAATGATCTAGTTAGAACAGGACCTTGTGCCTAACTAATTTTCCTTTATTGTTATTTGGGGGTGACTTCTTACCAGGTATGTCATTATTGACACACCAGGGCAAATTGAGGTATTTACCTGGTCAGCATCAGGAACCATCATAACCGAGGCCTTGGTAAGTGCTTTTGACATGATTGCACAGTGAAGCTGCGTGAATGACCTGGCTGTTGAGCAGTGTGCTTCTAATTAAACTGTCTTTTACTTTGTGTTCCCAGGCTTCCTCTTTCCCTTCGGTTGTTGTCTATGTGATGGATACCTCTCGCAGTACTAACCCTATCACTTTTATGTCCAACATGCTATATGCCTGTAGGTAAGAAAAGCTGGAAATGCAGCCCATCTGCTTCAATTGCCGTGTCTCTTTGATAGTTATTTTGGAGGGGAGTCATAGAACGGTTTGAGTTTAAAGGGGCCTTTAAAGGCCATCTAGTCCACACTCTTGTGCATGGGCAGAGATACCTTCCACTGGACCATTGTTCTTATAAACCTCTTTGTATTCTGAGAAACTGCAATAAAACTTCCCTGGAGCCTTCTCCGGGCTGAACAATTCCAACTCTCTGGCCTGTCTCCATAGGAGAGTCCTTTCAGGCTTCTGATGGTTTACATTGGCTCCTCTGGGCCCACTTTACAGGCCCATGTCTTTCCTGTACTGCGGTTCCCAGAGCTGGGTGCGGTGCTCCAGGTGGGATAACATGAGAGCAGTGTAAAAAGGAGAATCACCTTCCTTGCCCTGCTTCCCATGTGCTTTCGATGCAGCCCAGGATGTGGTTAGTTTTGCCTTGGATGCCTCACGTCCACCTAATCTACTGGCTTGGTTATTCTTAGTAGTTTTCTAATTGAAAAAGCAGAATAATTTAGGTGCCAATGGACATCTGGAGGTCATTGGCTCAAAACTCTCACCGAAAGCATTAAATTATCTGTGAGACCTCGGTGTGATGAATGTTGGTTACCTTAGCTTTAACATTGCCTATTACTTATAAACCCATTTTTCTAAGATGTATCACAGTAGCCTAGTTTGAGCTCCTTCTTGTAAACATGTAGTTTTTTGTCCTATTTTGTAATGCTACTGATACTTTTAAGACATTCTTCAAGATTTGTTTGGAGTTCAGCATAGCAAGGAGTTCTTGATTTGTTCTATTCTTTCTCGTGCATAAATTTATCTGTTTTCTTTCATGTTAAATCAGGAACTAAATACCTATGGAATGATCAGCATAGCTAGACCTGTCATAGTTCGTGGTCAGTGTTGGTAAAAGGTTTTCAAAAACTCTCTCAATCCTTGTACCAAGGTCAGGAACCATATCACTGTAACACTGTGCAAAATGTGTCTTATTGCATACTGCATTTTCTGACATTAGTTTGRGCAAAACTGATAGTATACATACAGTGAAATGAATGTGTGGGTTCTTGTGTCAAGGTAGTTTTTCTTTACAGATGTTCTCTGTTATTTAAATTCATTGCTCAGTTCACAAATAACCTGAGGTCTGAGTCAAATGCATAATGCAAAGAGAGTTAAAAACTGGGATCTGAGAGTTATAGAAAATGGTAATCAAAATCAGATGCACGAGTCTAGGACTTTTTATCTCACAAATGTGCGCTTATCTCTTGGGGGTGCATATTTCATTCAACAGTTATAAGCAGAACCTGGGTGAAAATTACATTCTGATTGGTGCAGRGGAAAATAATTATCTTTTGACGTCAAACGTATTCAGTCTCACACAAGTCCTGTCTGCTTTATGCTTACCTTTCTATGTCTCCCTTATGCTTCCTATTCTAGTGAGTTTCAAATTAATTTTAAACTTTTATTTTGTGTGTTCTTTCTCCCCCCAGTATCCTGTACAAGACAAAATTACCTTTCATTGTAGTMATGAACAAAGTAAGTTAAAGCTCTGGTTTCCATTTTCTAGTGGGACATTGTTCTGTTTAGCTTCTTTCTGGTGGTGTCTTTTTTTTTGTAGCACAATAATAGGTTTTTCTAGAAAAGAAGACTGGGAGGGAGCTGCGGACGGACAACCAAATCTAAAAGAGGTCTTTAATCTGGTATCCAAATTCCTAACTTTAAACCTCATTTTGATCTCATGTTTGCCTTTGCTAAAAGGTAAAGGCAACAGCATTGAAGAATGTTTAACAAAATTTAATTGCATTTAATTTTTAAAAACAGACTCTTGATAAGAATGTAAGAGTCCCCAGGGAACCGATGCATTTGTAGTGACAAACATTTTAGAATTGTAAGATTTGCAGAGAAAAAAAAAGTAATTTGTAGAAGTGATTTAATTTTATTTATAGAATTCTAAGTACTCAGGCTTTGCCCCTTGGTGAATTCAGTTCTGTCTCAAATCTCTTGAGTAACAGTAGGCAATATTTCATCTTTCTCCTTCCCATTGGTGCAGGGAAGTGAAATATATGAGAGTTTTAGGCAACTCATATTGTGCTCAGAGTGGATATGCATGTAGTAAGATGTTTATGAAATTCTTTAGACTGTTTGCATATAAATCCATGTAAAATTATGGAACCCTCTCACCTGTTTGTCTTGCACTGAGTTTGGATTATCACTTCTTTGGGTCAGAACACAGCTCACTTTTAGAGAGGGGTGTTACCCTCTGGTACCCCCGTAGGCTGTTAYCCAGCGTGGAAGTGGCACTCGCTCCTCCCGGCCCCCGAGTAAGCGGGACAGCTTGGGATCTAGAGCGAGGGCTGTTCTTGTCTGGCCTCAATCATACGATCTGCCATTTCCACCTTAATATTTATTATACAGTATGCGATTTTGAATGCTGCTTGCCAGTAAATCACAGAAGGCTTTAGACCTGTGATAGTTTTCTTAAACAGCTGTTGCTTTCTTAAGCCTGGCAGTTATTTGTCTTCTCTTCAGGTATTTCACGTAGTCAGTCTAACAAAAACAGAACTTGCAAAACTTCACACCAGGGCTGAGTATTTTGAAAAGATGAACGTTTTGAAAATAAGTTTAATGTGGACTTTTTTTATTTGTCCACTTAACAGCCCACTGCTAAAAGTATTACTTTTGAATATTTTCCCCTCTCCTTCCAGACTGACATAATAGACCACAGATTCGCAGTGGAATGGATGCAGGACTTTGAGACTTTTCAGGATGCCCTGAATCAAGAGACCTCCTATGTCAGTAACCTGACTCGTTCCATGAGTTTAGTGTTGGATGAATTTTACAGTTCACTGAAGGTAAGGATCTTCTTTTTGTTTATTACCTCTCATAAAAACGTGGGGAAGAGAAAGCTCAATAAGAGTATTTTCGATGTGGGATGGGAGTAGAGTCTAAGGAAGGCAAATGGCAGGCTGTGTTCATTGGTGCCTAGGGAAAGGAAAAGAGGCAATAGACACAAAGTGAAATGCAGGTAACGATGTTTAAACAGAAGGGGTAAAAAAATTCATTTTTACTGATAGAGCACTGGAACAGATGGTCCAGAGAAATTGAAGTCTCCATCCTTGGAGACAGACAAAATTGTGAGCAACCTGTTCTAGTTAATTCTGCTTTTAGAGCAGGGAAGTTGGACTAGATGATCTCCAGAGATACTGTCCAACCCAAACCACTCTGTCCTTCTGCAAAGGATCTTTTTGATGCCCTTTTGAACTGTAATCTGTTGATTTGCCGATCTGAACAGAGAGTAACTTCAGTAACTTGTCACGATGAGTGGGACCCTGAATAATTTAATACTGAATTGTGATTAATTGTGAGAAGAAAGCTAAGATAGGCTGGCATGAGGCAGCATTCTTTGTTGCAGCGTTTCCCGTCTGAGGTAATTTTCTTTGTTCAGAAAGTATCTAGTACAGTCGGGCAATTTCGTACACAGGAAGAACAGAAAGTCTCAAACCTCAACAAACACCCTCATCCCCCTCACCCACTCTTACATGTGCTTGGGCAAGAAGACGTTGAATTTTTTCCCCCACTTAACCAGGTTTTGAGAGGTCAAAATAACGCAGTTACTCAGGAAACCCTATGTATTGGAGGCTCTCAGTGATCCCATAGTCTGTGCTAAAGTTTTCAGCTGTGTTTGTCATCAGCTTTTACTAAACAAAAAACAAGCCTTCTTGGTTTTATGGGTATTATAAGAAAGAAAACAAAAATAAGTGATTCCATGCAGATAGATATTGATAATGTAGCCAAAACAAAAATCTTGTAACTGTTCTATGTGGAACAATATACAGAATTTCAGAAGGATTGTAGTGGTGCCATATACAGAACTAGAGTACTTCTTGTTCCTTCCTTATTTGTTAATTATGTCATATTTCTCTGCATGTCAGAGCCATCACAGCACTGGACCGGAGAGCAGGTCATATGAAGAACATTCTAGCATAACATCTGCATAGACGGCAGCTTGTACTTAAGGGCAGGGAAAGTAAAAATATTAATACATGTCAGCATATTTTAATGTCTAAATTAATTTCATTTAGTTTGATTAAATTTAATGTTTCATGTTTACTGTATTAATCATGAAGTGCAGGGCTGTATTGAAAAGAGTCTTCCTTTTGAAAGTGAATAGTTGAAACTGAAAAGAGGAAGACTTTTCATTAGGGGATGAATGATTCTGGCTGGTAATAGTCTTAAAGAAAMGTATTGTTAGGTAATTGATTTAATACAAGCAGAAGAAATGGCCAGAAGTTAGACAAGTTCAAATTAGGAAGGAGATGGGCATTTGTATGTGCTGCCACAGTAACTGATCTATTTCACCTCTTGCTGTTTCGGGATTGGGGACTGGGGACTTTTTAAAATGCGCTTTGGCTAAATACAAAGTGTAAGACATAATTTCAAAGCCAAAAGGTCCGTTCTTGTCTATTTTGCTCTCTAATTCTAGTACACTGATACATAGTAGCTACTTATAACCATAGGTGCAGATTGAATTATTAACAGTAAGCAAGTAAACAGCTTGACTTTCTCGTGAACTGTCCCATCTTGTTAAAAACAAACAAGCCCCCTTCCCCAAAGAAACACCTCCCCCCAAAATACCTCAACGACCCGCCAAACAGAAAACTGGCGAAAACCAAAACACAGAGGTAACAAACACGAACGGTGAGTGGAGAAAGAGTTTTAAAGCGGGATGGATTAGAAGCAGAAGAGTTACTGCACATTTCTATGCCACTATGCTGATTAAATGGCTATCGTTAGGTTTAGAGTAGCAGTTATTTGGTTTTTATTAGAAAACGAAAGAGTTCAGTTACTCTCCAGCTCCGGTGTGTGGTTTCTTTTGCAGGTGGTTGGTGTTTCTGCAGTGCTCGGCACAGGACTGGATGAGTTTTTTATCCAGCTTTCTAACGCTGTAGATGAATATGAGAGGTAAGGGGATAATTAAGGAGTTAACCCTGTAAACACGTCCTGAAGGTATTGATTTGTAACTCATTTGATTTGAAGGACTGTACATTTTGCTTAGACAAGGTAGTTTAAGGTTTTCAATAAACTTTAAGCATCAGCATAAAAAGCGGCAGTGAAAAGGAGCTTATTGGGAAGTGATTATTTGTGTTAGCTGCTCAAGGAAAAAGTAAAGGCTATCTGTGCCATCAAAGATGTGAACTAGGTTTTTTTCTAATTCCCTAAAATGATCGAGGTTTGATTTATTGCCGTTTCAATGAAGAACGCTCACTTATTTTGCATCCGTTCGTTTCAGAATCCAGATCTGGATAGAAAGTACTGTTAGTCCTTCTGAAATGTCTCTCAAACATGAAAGCCTAGAGGAGACTTTTTTGGGGGTTAGAAGGAAGCCTCTGAGATGACCTTTATTTATTATCGATCATGCGTTGGTTCAGACCTAATGAAATCTGTTTGTCTTTTCAGAGAGTACCGTCCAGAGTATGAGCGCCTGAGAAAAACATTGGTAAGCGTAYTTAGCCGTCGTACACTTGGATAACGTATCTCGAGGTCGCTTTCGTGCGCACAATTGGCTTTATGCTGAGAGGGTCTAACGTTGCATTTACTAATCATACTCGGTGTGGGAAAACTCCTGTCCTGAAGGAGTCTACTATCTGCCTTTTTTTCCTGGATGTGGTGGAGCATACCTCTACAAGAATAAGGATGTTCTGTAGAACACATTGTTCACTGCTTTAGTGCTAGTATTTGAGTTGGGTAATAATTTTGTTATCTTCCATTCAGAAGGATAAAGAGTTTTTGAAAATAAGTTCTGCAATGATTTGTTGAGGCTATCCGTGTATCTTCCTATACCATCGAAGCATACTGGTTTGACTTAGTAATAGAGACCGATTTGCAGTGCCAAAATCAGTAGTGCTGCTCACCTTGAGTCCCATCTGTCCAAAGGACAGTTCTCTGCAGGCACAGCTCCACTGAGTTTGGCTTCCTGATGCTGCTGAAAATGTTCTAGAAGTCCACCTGCTGGAGGTCCATGTTTGGTCAAAAGTTCTGTGTAACCTTAATTGTAATGTAAGACCCACTTAGTGACTTTTGCACTGTGGCTGGGGGACAGGCCACTGGTTTTGGGTGAGATTACTTTCTTACCGATGTTCTAAATGTTCTCAGAATTCACATGTAACTATCTACAGGAGGAAGCTCAAGAGAAACAAAAGAGAGAGCAGCTAGACCACTTGTGGAAGGACATGGGCAGCGTGTGTGTGCAGGGCAGCACACTGGCAGGTACCTCACCAGGAAGATTTAAGTTCACTGCAGAAGTTTTCTGAAGAGTTTGCTTTGCAAAGTCATACAGTTCTGTCATCACAGTAAAAGTGTGAAGGCAGCTCCATGTTAGAGGAGCGGGGTTTCAGTTCTGTCATGGTTTGGAAAGCTGGCCGAAAGTCAGGCACTCCCAACACTTGCTCACTCGCTCTTTCTTACTATTATTGGGCAGAGAAGTGCGAAGGAAGAAAAAATCTAATAAAAGGGTTTATGATTTGAGATAAGAAATAGGGAGGAAATGCTTGATGGACAAAACAGGCTCTCCTTAAATTACGAAATGAATTTATTACTAACAAAGTCAGAGGAGGAGAATGAGAAATAAAATAAAAACCTCAAAGACACTGATCTTCTCCCCACTCCCTCCCCGCTTCTCACCATCAATGCAAAGCAGGGGCGCGAGGAGCCAGGTGTGGGGTTGCTCAGTTCATCAGCGGATCACCTGCGGCTGCTGAGGGAGAGAAGTCCTTCCTTTACGTCGCTGTGGGGTCCCTCCCACTGGAGATAGTTCTCGGTGAACCTCTCCGGTGTGGTTTTAATTTCACGAGCGGCAGTCCACACACATCTGCTGCTGCGTGAGTCCCCCCATGGGCAGACAGTCGTCCCAAAACTGCTGCACCATGGGGTCCCTCGTCCACTGGGTGCAGTCCYGAGGCCAGGCTGTTTTATCTCAAAAGCAAAGCCCCTCTCTTTGCGAGTCTTGTGCCGGACACAACTCCCTTCGAGGCGTCCGCCCACTCCAGCATGGGGACCTCCCTCTTCTGTGGGCCATGGGTACATCTCTGCACCCTCCGTAGACCCTGTAGGCTGCAAAAAGACAGCCTGCTCTACCGTAGTCATCACCACAGTCTGCAAAAAAATCCCAGCTCCAGGGCCTGGAGCAGCTCCTCCCCCTCCTTCTCCACTGACTTTAGTGTCTGTGTCTCTTAGACATTCTCAACCACCTCCTCCTCCTCCTCCATCAAAACTACTGTAGCCTGTACCTTTGTTTTAATTTTTTCTTAAATATGGTTTCACAGAAACGTAATCACTATCTTCAGTTAGCTCAGATTTAGTCAATAGCACCTCTGTCATCTTCAGATCTAACAGCACTTGGCTCTGCCGGATGTAGTAGAAACCTCTAAAAGCTTCTCACGGGAGCCATCTTTTTAGCCCCCCCCACTTCCAAAAACTGAGCCAAACAAAACCACACAAGTTCCTTTGGGATTGGCCACACTTAGCTCTTCCTGTGTCAGTCACAGGCATGCTGTGTAGCTAAAGCAGTGAACATATTAAAGATAATGAAATACTTTGGAAAAGGTGAAACACTAGAATATGAGAAAGCTGTGCTGTTGGCTGCACTGTTCCTTACCTGAAGTATGTGCAGATGAAATCTACCCTGTGTCTTTGGGATCCACAAGCGGTTTTCTGTCCTTTCAGAGCAGGTGTTAATTGCTGTGTTAATGTGCAAATAGAAGTTGTCAGTGTTCACTATACCTTACCATTAGCAAGCTGGTTTATGTACCATCATTTCTTTTGCCTTCAAGGACCTGATGATGCTTCCGCAATGGGTCCCTCTGAGCTAATCCTAACACGAGGAACTCTTGATGAAGATGAAGAAGAGAGGGAGAGTGACACTGATGACATTGACCATGAAGGTTAGAGAATGAAGCCTGAAAGTTGCCCATCTAGTCGGGAAATCCCCTCTGTTTCATTACCTGGATGGACTGTAAAGACAGCCTAGAAAACAAGCAAACATTCAGTCACCTAAGTACATGCGTCAGAATCTATATCAGAAGCCCAACTACAATATTTGGGGATATCACTTTCCAACCTTTGTGAAAGTTCAATTGTAAATTTTCTATTTAAGTAACTAATAGGTGTATAACACACATAAACCAGAGAACTTGTTAGGCTTGGGAAGACACACTGTGACCTCTGTACCTGATCGATGCACAGCTGTTTCAGCATCTTTTTTGCCTTAGTTTCTGCCCTTGACTCTTTCCCTTTCGCTGTGACTATGGTCTTGAAGTAATCTTCCAAGTCAGTCGAGTGTGTTTTTTCTCTTTTACAGCACTCAGATTTAATCTTTATTCTTTCCCTGTTCCATGGATGTTTAGGATCACTTGTTTCCTTTGCCCTGTAATGTAGTTGGAGATCCAACAGACATTCTATGTTGTTCTGACTATCCTGACTCTAGCTTTTGCCAGTAACAAAAGTAGAGTAGTGCTGAACTGTCATTTTTTCCCCCAGTGACTGAGGAGAGTCGTGAAGAACCAGCCTTCAGAAACTTCATGCAAGACATGCGGCTGAAATGCCATAGAAAAAGCAACCTGAATGAATGAAACCTTCAAAAACAGAAGGTTTCAAAGGAACAGCATAAAGAAAGCTTCATGGAACTGTGCACGAAGACTTTTATTTGTGAACAGCATCCTCCGACTGGGGAGCTGAAATAAAGTCCCTTGGAAATTACGTACTTTAAAATTTATGGTTACTTACTACATGATTTTCTCCAGGAATAGTTATGGTGTGGTAGGATCCTCTATACAGAATCTTATATGGGCTTTGGAACTTGGCTGAATTCTGATTCTAAGTAATGCTAGAGAGAGAGCCTGTGGCCACTTAAGTTTCTCGACAGCTTTTGTTCATTTGTCTTTTTAGGCTTTGATTCATTTTTTAACTTTTCCACTGGATTGCGGTTTCCAAGGAGCATGCCAATCTCATCTGATTCTTAATATTTTGGACAAGCTTTGCACAATGTCTGCTATAAAATGGGGTCTCCTATCCGAGGATGTTCTCAATGGAATTCTGAATTGAGGTATTATTTCTTTCAATAATATTTTGCTAGCTTCTCTTGATTTGTTGGTGCGATAGGGAAAGGCTTTAGGCTATTTAGAAAATGTATCAACTAAAACTGATTGGTACTGATAGCTTTTTTGCTGAGGTAATTTAGAAAAATCTGTATGCCAGTAGTCTCTAGGACAGTTTTCCTTTTTTGTGATCTCTGAAGGAGGTCTTTTGTGAGATTGAGGATTGTTTTGCAAACGTATTTTACATTTTTTGACTATGCTTTTAATGATTCTAGCCATTCTTACACTAATTACTTGTGACTTCAAGTTATCAAGTTACCAAATTTTTGGTTTCTAGCGTGGTTTTTTTGTGTTTATCTTKGGCCATTTGTCTCATTATTGCTTGAGGTACTAAAGCTTGTTTCTGTGATGTCATTCACTACTTTTAGGACTGCAGTGAAGCTCCAAAGGGCGGGTGCAACCAGTGTGAAGAGTTTGTTTCACTCCTGATGGAGAAGCTTGTCTRATCTGGATTGTTTTCCTTCAGCAATATGGGAGTTCTGCTAGGAACTCTGGAGAAATAAGAAATAAAACCACTTTTCAAAATCAAAGCCTGTGTTTTCCCGTGTGGCATTCAGATGTTTCCGAGAACATTAAAGTTGTCCCCGTGTCCAGCACTCTGGAACCAGCCCAGTGCCCATTCCCGAGGCTTTGGAAAGACTGTTGGGAAGGATGAAGGTGGGGCTGGGTGCCGTGGGTTCGGGGCGAGGTGGGCAGGGACAGCAGGAGCAAGGTACCRAGGCTTGGGGAGGGAGTGGAGCTGTGGGAGCTCTGATGCCATTTGTGACACCCCAATGTCCCTGGGACAGCCCCGCTGCGCTGCAGGAGCAGGTGAGTGGGGAACGAGTGGGGTCCCGCTGGGTGCCCTTCCCCAAAGGGACCCAAAAATGGCCCAAAATTCCCAGGGAGGGGGTGAGTGTAGACCACTTGAACCTGTCCTGGTGTGCATGGTGATCTCTACTGCCAGTGCCACGAATTGGGATAGAAATTCGTTGACACTGAGCCCTCCCTGTGTGCTGGAAATCCCAGACAGAGCCCAGCAGTGATCGAGCACACATTGCAAACAGAGCTGGGCAGAGCCGAGGGAATCACATGGGAAAGGAGCCATAAAAAAGGGCACAGGCATGGAAAAAGACAACCATAAAGAAATTTATATTAATATGCAGAATTCTTAGTCAATAACAATTAAAAAAATGTCCTTTCATTTTCTCTCTCCTCCCCATGGGTCTCCAGCTGGACACAGCCTCCTTCTCGAGGTCCCTCCTCTCCCCTCTACCCCCCTGCCTGCCTCTCCTCTACCCTCCTCCCTCCACTTGCCTCCGGGGCCTGGAGCTACTCTCCTGAATTGGCCCAGCAGGGTATCGAACGCCGGTCGCCCGCATGCTAAGCGGGGACACACACCACTGTACAAAGTGAGCAGGTGTTGTGGATGTTTCGCTTTTGGCCAGTGTTCTAAACCACAACAGGGGACCTGATGCCGAGTAGCGCGCCACCCTGTGGCCGCGCCGCGTGCCGGCAGGGAGTCCCCGCGCAGCGCCGCGCATGCGCGGCCGCCATGTCGTGCGCGGCGCGGGCCCGAATTTCGGCGCCAAAACGCGCCACTTTCGGGCGTTTTCGAGCGCCGATTTCGAGCTCGGGGGGGTCGGAGAAGCCGCCCGCGCCCGTTCGGGCGAGCGGAGAGGGGCGCCGGGCGCCCGGCGGCGCGAAAAGGGGTCTCGGTACCCGGTCTCGGTATGCGGCGCGAGCCCGAATTTCGGCGCCAAAACGCGCCCGTTTCGGACGGTTTCGAGCTCCGATTTCGAGCTCGGGGGGGTCGGAGAAGCCGCCCGCGCCCGTTCGGGCGAGCGGAGAGGGACGCCGGGCGCCCGGCGGCGCGAAAAGGGGTCTCGGTACCCTGCGTCACGGGCGCCGCCATTTTAGGTGCCGCCGGGGAGCGCCGGACGCTACCGCGCGTGCGCGGCCGCCATCTTGTGCGCGGCGCGGGCCCGAATTTCGGCGCCAAAACGCGCCCGTTT